GGAGGAAGGAAGGAAGGAAGGAAGGAAGGAAGGAAGGAAGGAAGGAAGGAAGGAAGGAAGGAAGGGTGGTGGGGCTACTTCCCCTCAAGACTCCCTATCACTCCTCCTGCTAATACTGGGTGAGGGGGTGGGGAGGGGACAAGCAGAACAGCCCAGGGCAGGGTCCCTCTGGAATGTTCTGGAGAATGGCAGTCATCCTGGTACCTCACCCATAGCTCTGCCGGCCAGGGGTAGACATGGGCGGGAGAGGCTGGACTGATGGCGCTGTGTGACCCCCAGGCTGGCTGCAAACCTCTCACAATTGTCCTCACCGTGACCTTACGGTCTTTACTTGCTGACCCTGAAGCCATTAACCCCGGGGAGACCCCGGAGCTCACGTTTCTAGCAGCCTGGGGGAGAGCATGTCCAGGTGGTCCCAGTACCTTCCCTTTGGCTCCTCTCCAGGGCCCTCTGTTTTCCCCTCTCCCTGCCTTCAGTAAGCCCCCCTTTGTCCCTAAGGAGAGACCCTTTGTTCACAAATAGAGCCCTCAGGCAGTGCCTGCGGCCCTGTGACAGCCATTGTCAGAGCTGGAGCAGGCCTGGCATCTTCCTGCTGGCACTGTGTGGGCTCAGTCACCCGCAGACCCTTGGGCTAAATCTGATCCAACCCAGCGGTGGCTGGAAGTCACTGGGCCAGAAATAGAACTTTTAAGCGATTTTGTAAAGTGTAGAAAGAGAAGGGGGAAGGAGAATCAGAGTAGACAAAGAGCGAGCCTGGGGTGGGAATAGCGTCTTCTAGGCTCCAGCGGCGTCACAGGCCCGTCCACCGCCCTTTATGCCAGGCCTTCCCGCAGCAGCGACCTGTGGGCCGAGGTGCAAGGGGACAGTTGGCTCTTTTTGTTTTGTTTCCAAAGATGATTTTATTGAATGGACTGAGCTATTTTTGAGAGTTGTGTAAAGAGCGCCTATTCTTTAGTTTCTTAGAGAGAATCTGCTGCTTGTGAGCTCTCATGGAAGGTCCTCGCAGGGGCCCTGCTTGTTGCAGGAATGGAGCCATGGCTTATTTGAAAATGTTCAGAAATGTAAAAGGTTGTTGTACAAAGAGACTTCCCGACTTTTGCCCAGTGCCCGAGGGGTGACAAAGGGCTTTTCGTATGTGCGATCTCATTTATTCCTCCTGCCCATCGGGTGGGGCAGGTGGTGTGATGGTGTCACCCTTTACAGTGGAGGGACCCTAAGCTGGAGGTTAAGGGACCTGTGCGTGGTTGCAAGGACCAGCCACCTTCCTGTGGGTCACACCCTTCCCCCCCCCCCATGCTCTCCGCAGCACCCTGGGGTCTCAGCGTATTTGATTTGTAATTCTGCACACACATGTCACTTGTCACTCTTGGTCCCATTCTCACAATGAGTTGCTAACTTTTCTAGGATTTCCCCAAAGACTAGTGAGTTTTGATCTGAAGCAGCTGGAACCCTCCTGGCCCCCTGGGAACTGTCTGCCCACAGGGACCCACTCTGTCGGATGTTCGTGTTGCTGAAGCCCATCGTATTGAATTCCTGCCAGCGGGTTTTCACTGGGTTTCTAAGCTTGCTTTACTCATTGAGACGAAGAGCATCTTATAAATTGGTGTTGACCGTGGACCTTTTTATCCAGGGTCTGGTTACTGATCACAGAACCACCTCTGCTTTAGAAGTGATTCTTGGCTTGCTTTGCAGACAGTGGGAGTTTATGGTTGTGCATGATTGTAGCGTGGTTCTGTTGAAGAGAAACTGTTATGGACTGAATGTGTTCCCCCACCTCCCAGAGTTCACGGGTGGAAATCCGTAGGAGGAACCCGTTACTGGATCGTGGAAGACAGACTGTCCTTGGTATAAAGTGGCAGAGCACTTGGCTGAACTGTGTTCCTGTCCTGGTGTTTTGTGGCAGGTAGAGCTTCTGAGCAATGAAATTGGATACTTAGCTGAGGAGATTCCCAAGCAAAATATTGAGGGTGCTGCTTGGGTTCTTATTGCTTCTAGTAAAATGCAAGAGGAGAGAGATGAATTGAAGAAGGAAGTGCTGAGCAAAAAGGAATCCAGGCTCGAAGATTTGGAAGATTCTCAGCGTCTCCAGATTTTTAAAAAATCTATTTTTAATTAAAAACATTTTAATTACAGTTTACACTCAGTGTTATTTTGTATTAGTTTCA